GCGTACGCACACCAGATAAATTTGCCAGATAGAAAGTCCGTGCAAGGTCTCTCCTGTGGCGTTGTTTAGAACAGCAAACAGCCGCAGGCTGAATGTCCTGAATGTCCATCAACAGAGGCTGTTTCAGTGAATCAAGGTTCATATGCGTCACGGAATACTACCCAGCCATTAACAGGAGCGAGGCTGCTTTTTATGTACCGACTGGGATCAACCACTCGAATACATTGTTAGGTCACAAAGAAACAAGGTGTAGAAGGACGTGTACAGTATGCTAACATTTGCGCAAAGTGGAACACATATCAGTATACGCATGCAGGTATTTCCTGGTGTATGCATACATTTCTGAAAGCAGATACAAGAAACTTGCATCAGTGGCTGGTTCTGGGGACGGGGACCGAGAGGCTGGGGGTGCAGAGGAAGGGAGGTTGACTTTTCAATTTATTCCCTTTGGAATCTTCTATATTTTGTACCATGGGCTTCAGTTACCTGTTCAAACACTGAATAAGATTAAATGATAGAATAAGAAAGACAGAGGGAGACAGAAAGTCAGGGATAAAGCTGTGGGGAAGAGAGGGATGGAGGAAGAAAGGGAGAGAGAGTTTAACTCTGTTTAATCCAGTGGTCCCCAAACTTCTGTAGATGCCTTTGGTCATCCGGGGAAAGGCTGTGAGGGGTCCTGACCTCCCCCAATGACAGGCCAGGACCCTATTTGCTGCCCCCATTTTGTCCCCCCAGGCCTAATACCTCTCAGTCTTCTCCTGGAGTGGCCATCTTTCTTCCGGAGTCTCCTTTTTTGGGGTCTGGCCTAGTTGAGTTGACTGGCGGCCCTGTAAGACAGAGGTTGACCCTTTCCTGTTGAGACCTGTGGTCCCTCAGGTGCGGTTGGAAAGGGAGGTCCTGCTCAGTCTTCAGGAGGCTGTGGCGTGGTGATGGCTTTGAACCCTGCCTCTACCACTTTCTTGCTGTGTGACCTCAGGCTGGTGACTTCGAGTCTCTGTTCCTCAGTCTCCCAGCTATAAAATGGGACAAGGAAGGTACTTCCTCGGAGAGCTGCTAGGAGGGCTGTGTTAGTTTCCTGGGGCTGCCATAATGAATTGTCACACACTGGGTTGCTTAAAACAGCAGAAATGTTTTCTCTCACAGTTCTAGGAGCTGAAGTCTGAAATCAAGGTGTCAGCAAGGACTTGCTCCGTCTAGAGCTTTAGAGGGAGAAGACTTCTTTGCCTCTTCCTGCTTCTAGGGGCTCCCAGTGCGGTTTTGCTTGCGGCCACAGGACTCCAATCTCTGCCTGTCTTCAAAAGGTCTTCTCTGGGTGTCTATAGTCTACCTCTGCTTTTCTTTTATAAGGACATTTGTCACTGGATTTAGGGCCCACCCAGGTAAGCCAGGATGACCTCACCTCAAGGTCCTTAATCACATCTGCAAAGACCCTTTTTCCAAATAAGGTCACTGTTACAGGTTCCACGGGGACACGTCTGGTTTTTTTGGGGGGGTGGGGTGGGGAGGGGACACTAACCCACTACAGGATTAAATGAGGTAAAACTAGGAGCTCAGCAAAGCGCTGGACACAGTAAGGTTTTGATGAATGTTAACTATTCCCTTGATTTTGCTTGGCCCACATGATATTGTTAAATGTTTTTCATAAGTTGCCTACCTTTGAGTTCAAAAGCTTTCACATGAAAATGAGGATCTCTTGAGGAAAATCAGAACATTTTGCATCATTGGACCAAACCCCCGCAAGGCCAAGGAGCCCTGAGAAGTGACTGACCTTCGAAGGGGCGTGTGTGGCCACTTCCCCAGTCCCCAGTGTCACCTGCCTGGCCCTGGGGCATCAGAGTTGGAGCCTCCTGGACCAGATCTGTCCTGCTCACTGTTGCAGCCCCACCACCCAGCCTGAGGCCTGGCTCAGAAAGCCAGTGAGGGACCCAGGACTTCAGGCCTGGCCCTCGTAGGATGTGTGACCCTGGGCAGGCCCTTCCCCTCCATGGACCTCAGTCTCCACATCTGTGAAATGGGGGAAGGTGTGAGATGATTCCTGGGCCCTTCTCGTTGTGGGGCGTCGGCAGGAGGCAGGCACGAGTTTGAGGTCACCAACGACTTACTGTGGCAGATAAACTACCATTCTCAATCCTGGCTGCATGTTATAATTGCCTGGATAATTCTCATTTTATATACCTATGACCAGACTCCAATCCGCACCAAAGGGGGTTGCCCTTTGCTCACAGAACAGACCTTCAGCATGGCCTTCAAGGCCTTTATTCCTCCCAAGACCCCTCTCTCATTCATTCATTCTTTCCCTCTAGCCCACTCCTTCTTCCATTCTCCTCACTGTGAGCCATTCTGTTCCATAAATGAGTCTCTTTTTTTGGTCTTGCCAAATGAGGACTATTCTTTATGTCCACAGTTTTTGATTTACAGACTTGGTTGGCTTGGCTCCCCATTCCCATGGGCACACTTGGTCCCTGGCTCCTGATGGCTTCACAGGAGCCCTTGCCTTGTGCCCTCAGATCCTGCATAAATACTGCATGGTCCCGAGGGAGAATTTCTTTGGGAAGTCACCCAGGAGCGGAATTACTGCGAGATACGTATGTGCAGCACTTCATCTGGCTAAGCCAGACTTTAATTTTTACCAGATTCGTACTGTTAATATGACAGTTCATCGCTGAATTTGCTTTTCTCTGATTACTAATTGGTTTGAGCACCTGTGCACATCCCTGTTGGCCTTTTAATTTGGTATAATCAAATTGATTTTTTTCTTCATAATTTGTTTCTTTGGGGGAGTTTTCAGAAGTCCTTCTCTGCCCCTAGCTCATCAATTATTTTCCTCTATCAACTTTATAGTTTACCTTTCACGGTGTGTTTTTTTTTTTAATATTTATTTGTTTATTTATTTATTTTGCTGCGTCGGGTCTTAGTTGCGGCACGCGGGATCTTCGTTGCAGCGTACAGGATCTTAAGTTGCGGCGTGCAGGCTTAGTTGCCCTGTGGCATGTGGGATCTTAGTTCCCCGACCACGGAACAAACCCACGTCCCCTGCATTGGAAGGCGGATTCTTGACCACTGGACCACCAGGGAAGTCCCCACGGTGATATTTAATCCAGCTAGAGAAAAACACTGTCAAAACAGAACTGAGATAATAGAAGGTTTTTGTATTTCTACCGTTTAATCCTCAGCCGCCGGCCAGAAGTAGCAATTGAACGTGTGAAACGTGGCTAGTGCAACTGAGGGACCGAATGCTTAATTTTATTTCATTTAATTTAAAAGTAAATAGGCACATGTGGCTAGTGGCTACTGCCCTGCACAGCACTGATCTCGGGTTCCCTTTCATTGTATTCGGTAGGGATTCAGTTTTCTTTTTCTTAATAAAATGAACCAATTTCTTCAACACTATTATTAAACAATCTATTTCCCCCCTTCAATTTGCTCCTGCATACACTTGGGCCTGCCTCTGGGTTCTCTGGGGTGAAGCCTGGCGAATGTAGTGAATAGCAGGGATGGAGGATCACGATTCTACAGAAGCGTTTTTTTTGCTTTTCCATGCAGCATGTGGGATCTTAGTTCCCCAACCAGGGATCGAACTCGTGTCCCCTGCATTGGGAGCGTGGAGCGTGGAGTCTTAACCACTGGACCGCCAGGGAAGTCCCAGTAATAGAAGTTTTAATTAGACACACAGTCGTCCAGAATAAAGACTACATTTCCCAACCTCCTTTGCTGCTGGGTGTGGCCACGTGACTAAGCTCAGGCCAAAGAGGCAATGGTGAAAGCTTTGGGGGTCACTGGCCTTTAAAAGGAAGGGGTGTGCCCTCCTATTCACGTGGGAGAGGTAACAATCCTAGGATGGAGGAGCAGCAAGATGGAAGGAAGCTGGGACCTTGCTGACTGGGCAGGACTGAGTCCCCCACTCCTTGGCCTCTTATTGAGAGCAACTGTAGATCTCAGTGGTTCTCAAACTTGAGGGGGCATCAGAATGAGGCTTCACACTGCGATGGCACCGGCTTAGTTGCTCCGCGGCATGTGGGATCTTCCCGGACCAGGGCTCGAACCCGTGTCCCTTGCATCGGCAGGCAGATTCTTAACCACTGCGCCACCAGGGACGTCCTGCACTATGCTTTAAATCTCTGTGTTCATCCATCTAGATCATGCGTGTACTTGGCCAGGCTGACACAGAAACAGTGCCCGGATCCCTGGGGGACTCAGGGCCTGTGGAGAGGGGTGCTGTGGGGTAGGGGCTGACAGTGGGGGCGAGGCAGGACTAGGTCGGATTCTCTGGCTCCTCTCCACACACTTCCAGCCCACAAACCAGACTGAGGTCCCTGGTGCCGGTGACGCCTGGAGGGCTCTGGGAAGGGGGTCCCCTCCTTGGTCTCTCAGTGTCCCCAGGAGGCCGCTGCTGCCCCGACACCTCCCAGGGTGCTGGGAAGGACATACGCCGAGCCCACACTGGTCTGGGGCAGTCACTGCCCAAAATGCAGAAGCAGCGCCGTCTCCTGTCGGCCGGATTTTCTCCTCTCCCTGAGACCCGGCCTCAGCCTGGAGGGCAGGATATGGCCAATGGAATATTTCTGAGGCTGGCAGCTCCAGGTCCATCTGTCTTAGCCGATGCCCCAGCAGCCCATCTGCCTGTTGACCGGTTTCCTAACATCAGCTCACCAAGGATCAGCTCCTACCCACTGAACGCACTCCAGACAACCTTTAAAATAGGTTTCCAGCAAACTGCAGATTTGGCAAACTGGTCATCATGGCACATGGACTGGTAAACTGGCTGCTTCCAGGCCTGGGGGGCATCAATCCAGCCCTGTAACCGGCTGCTTGGACCTGGAACTCCCACCCACCCACAGACACGGCCCTGGCCCTGAACTGGGCTGGAATCCTGGGGTCAGCCAGGCCTCCCTCCCAACCCTAGAGCCCCTCCCCATCAATTCTCCCCCCAAGATGGCCTGGACGGGGGTGGGGGGGCCTCTATGCACACTGCACACACACAAAACAAGAAACTGGTTTAATTGTAAAACTAAGTTGAGGGAGGGGTGGGCGGGGCTGTGCTGAGGGGGCAGGAACCCGATTCTTCAAGCAGTGGTCCTGTCCCCGGTGCCACCCCGCGGGACAGGGACCATCCGTCCCCAGATGGGGGCTAGAGTGTTATAAAATGACAATATAAATAGACTTCTAGAAAAGAGGAGGCTGTTCCAGGTGCAGTAGTCATGTTCTGCAGAGGCTGGGGGTGGGTGGGAAGCCCTGACCCCTGTCTCCGCATCCAGCCACAGAGAGGGGTGTGGGGCGAAGGGAAAAGGCCACTCTTCAGACATTCATGATCGACCCCCGCAATGGCTCAGGGGGGAGGGGCTGTGGATCAGGCGAGGTCTCAGAGACACGCACTCGCAGGCTGGAGGACAGAGGAGCTGGACCTTCTACATGCACACATGCGTGTACACACACGCGCGTGCGCACGCACACACACACACACACACACACACGCACACACACCTCTTTCGTAGTGTTGTCTCCACCCCTGGCGGCCCCCACTGCAGATTTCCAGTGATGGGAAGGCTGCCCGTCCTTCCTGGAGACAGGACAACACTGGGGCGGGCCTGTCCCAGAGGGTTGGCGGGTCCTGGGAGCCTCGTGTGCTCCCACAAGTCCCTGCGCTTTTTTAAAAGTCCCAAAATCAAAACGGCAGTTCAGTAGTAGGGTCCCGCACACCCCCCAGCAAGGAGGGCAGTGCCATACAGAGTGTCTCCTGGGCTGGGAGGGGCAGGGGCCGGCCCTCCACTGGCCTCTGGCAGGGCAGGGGTGACCCAAGGGGCTCTTTGGTTCAGGGTCAGGGCGCTGGGCCTCATCTGGTGCGGTTCTGGCGCATGAGGGGCACGATGCTGGCGGGCGGGCCCGCTTTGGCCAGGAATGGGTGCTTGAGCAGCTCAGCCGCCGTGGCCCGCTGTGCCGGGTCACGCACCAGCAGGCGGTCCAGGAAGCCCTTCAGGGATGGCGACACCTGTCAGGAGGCGGGCGAGAGGGTCAGGGGGTCTGAGAGCCAGTTCCACTGCTCACTCGCTGTGGGGCCTCAGTCTCGTCCTCTGTCAAATGGGCTGACAACATCTACTGCCTAGGGAGGGGGCAAAGAGGTCCCAGGAGCTTGGCCCCAGGGGCTCATTCCCTCCCCATTTCCAAGGTTTGGCAGGACCCTGGCAGCAGCTGGGCCCTGGAGGCACCCCTTTCTCACCAGGCAATTCCTTCACCACGAAGGCTCCTCTCCTGGACCTGGCTATGCTGTGTGCGTCTAGCCAGGCCAGCCTAAGCACAACTTCTGGGATGTGGGGTGGTGAGGGCACAGAGTTTACACAGACACTCGAGGCCTGGGGGACACGGGGGTGACCCAGCGCACAGTAAGCGCCACCTCGGGAGGGAGCCATCCACACCCCAGTGCTGCCCGCACTCAGCGCTCTGCTTGGGTTCGGGGCTGGGTGGAGCCCTGTCCCCCCACCCCCACCTGCCTGCCGCCTGCGGGAGGGGCCCACCTTGTGCAGGTTCTTCAGTCGGGGTGGCAGGTTGTCCCGAATCATCTTCATGGCTTTGAGGGGTGGCTCATTGAAGTAGGGGGGCTCCCCATCCACCATCTCGATCACCATCACCCCCAGAGACCAGATGTCCACCTGCGGTGGGGACGGGGCAGCAGGGCTGAACTGTGCAGGCACGGCCAGTGCTCGAGGGACACCCACAGAGGGATGGCCCTGGTTCTGTCTTTGCCTCTTCGCTCCTAGAATCCTTGGGGCCTGAACACCCTCGCTGATACCTAGCCTGCCGGACCCTATGCACTCCTCACCCAGGGAGCCTTCTGAAGGGTTCTGCCCACCCAGCGTCTATCCCCTTCTTTTTTGCTAACCCCCCTCCTTCCCCTGGGTTCCTCTGGAGAACCCCCTCTCCCCTACTTCAGTCCATGGAACATGACCAGGTGGCCTAGTCGGCAAGAGTCCGGACACAGTAATTGGTTCAGGAACGGGCACAGGACCCAAGCTGAGCCAGTCACAGTCAACCCTGAGACTTCAACCAAAGTATTCAGGAAAACAGTAGGGCTCACGTGATGTGTTCTGGAGTTGCCAGGGTCATGTCTGCGCTGACCAGGGGAGCACCTGCCTGAGTGAAGACTACAGGGGGGAAATTCTAGGGACCCACAGCTTTCCATTTTGCTAAATCCATTTGAGATAGTTTTGTCACTCACAGGCAGTCCTGATTGAGATGGTCCCTCAGAATCTCCTCCCAGCCTCCCCTCCCAGTGTGATCCCACTCCTGCCTGGGGTTCCCCCAAGATATGCTTCCAAGGGCACCTTGGACCAGCCCTGGGTCAAGCCTTGTTGACTGTGGAGGAATCCTCAGGGCCACAGGCCACAGCTCAAAGACCAGGCAGGTAGGTAACGGCAGGGAGTGAAGCAGGTCAGTGCGGGCAATAGAGACGGGTGGGGACTACGGCCAAGACGAAGGCGGCCCCGCACTTGCTAATGTGGAGCAGCCCCAGCGCCTGCGGATTGTTGCTGTGCAGGAACTTGGCCTCCACGTGGCCAGAGCTCTTGGTTTTCTGACAGAGGATAAAATTCAGACTTTCACGTGAGAGCTCTCTTTAAAATGCTTGCAAGAGCATCTTCAGAGCACGTCAGCCAGTTTGTGGCCTCTGCCCCAGGCTGACAGGCAGGGGCAGGGCCAGGGCCGGGGCCGCTTCTGCTCCGCATTCTGTTCCCATTGCTGAGCACTGGCCTGGCTCCAAACTAGAGCCCAGTCAGCAGTGCACGCAGGCATGCCTACTTCCCCCCCAGACTGTCCCCAGGGACTGAGCCCCTCACCCCCAGCACTCTGGCTGTTCCGGACTGTCACAGCGTAAACCAGTGCCGAGCGGGACGGCCGGCCGCCTCTGGCTCACCTCTGGCCCGTAGGGGAGGCGGGAGATGAGCTCCGGGGCCATCCAGTAGGGCGTGCCGACCAGGGACTTCCTCCGGGGCACCTCCTTGCTCACCTGGGCACAGAACCCAAAGTCCGACAGCTTCACCTGCAGTAGGATGTAGGCAGTAGGGTCAGAGGTGCTGGTGGGGGCAGGGTGAGCAGAGGCATCTACCTATTTGATTCCTTGGCCTCGGACGCGCTGGGTCTCCACGATGCTGCCCAGAGGTTAGAGCCTCTGGGGAGCTCTGCCGTCTCCTGGCTGGGGCCCTCAGCCGTGTCACCTGCCCAAGATCGCACCATTTGCCTCCGTGACAGGGTCTGTGCTGGGGCTCTCGGGGGAAGTGGCCCGAGTCCCAGGGGTACCAAAGGCTGGGCGGGGGCTCAGACTGGGGCTGGCTCCCAATGCTGTGCCCTGGGCCCCTGCTTCCCGGCAGGAAGCACACCTTCAGCTGGCAGGTGTGAGAGGGGTGCAACCCTGTCCAAGGCGGGTACAAGGGGACACAGCCTGCCTCTGCAACAGCTACGTCCCCAGACCAAGGATTTATACCTCTGTTGGAACCGTGGGCCCTATCTGGACTCTCGAGGATGTCTATGGATCCTCCCACCCCCATAGAGCATGCTCACACATATCCCCTAAACACATCTGCAGACATCTTTAGGTGTTCGTGGACCCCAACTGAGACTCCCAGTGAAACTGAGCCTTCCCCCCACCCCCCGCCTCTGCTGACTGGCTTAACGTTCCTGGGGGAGGGCGGGCAAATCACCAACAAGAATTTGGTGAAAGTCAAGGGCCCCCTCCCACTGAAAATCATGTTCACTCTTGGAATATAAATGCAGGTTCTGGTCACTGTGAGGCTCATCCATGGACCTCAGACTCAGAACTTCAGTCCAGAAGATGGGAGACAGGACTGGAGTCCACAGCCCACGCCTGGATGCCAGGCTAGGAGCAGGTTCTCATGTGGCCGAGAGGCTGGCCACCCAAATGGAGTCTCCCCTCTCTGGGCCCAGGGCTAGACTACAGTTCCCAACGGCCCGTGCTGACGGCAGAGCCCCCACCAGCCTGAGCCCCTGACCGAAGGGGCAGAGGCCCCACTCACGTGGACCCCTGTCTCTGGACTGCTGCACGAGGAACGAAGGAACTTACTGCTCCTCACGTGACTGAACTCGGGGGTCAGAGCACACCCTACCAGCAGAGAGAGAGCTGGGCAGAGGTGGGGGAAGGCCAAGCCACCCCGTTCCTCACCCTGCCATCGTGGGTCAGCAAGATGGAGTCGCTCTTGATGTCCCGGTGGATGACCCCCTGGGCGTGGAGCACGGACAAGGCCTGCAGCACGGCCAGGCACACGGCGGCGATCTGCTCCTCGTTCATCCTGCGGGGGTGGGTGGGTGAGTGACGGGGACAGACAGGGCCCCGCCCTGTGGTTTAAGGGGGACACAACACTACCCTGGGCTTTGAGGGGGACATGGCCCCACCCTGGGGGCCGGATGCGGACAGAGCCTGTTGGCTCTGAGACATGGCCCCACCCCAAGGGGTCAGGAGGGGGCCAGTCCTATCATGGGAGAGGTCTGAGGAGGACCCAGGTCCACCCTGGGGAGCCGGGGGAGACAGCAGGCTGGCTGTCACAGGGTCCAGCTGTCCAGCAGTACCTGGTGTGGGTGACGATGTCGGTGAGGGCGCCTCCCTCCAGGAACTCCATCACCACCCAGAGCTCGTCCCCGACCAGGTAGCTGTTGTACATCTCCACCACGTTCTCATGCTGGTAGTCCCTCATGATCACCACCTGGGCATGGGAGGCCAGGTCGGCGCGGTGGAGGGAGGACGGCCAGCCCCTGCCACCGGAGCCCTCCTGCCTCCCTCTCAGCCTGGGTGTGGGCCCTGCCACACTGCGGGTCCGCTTCCACCCGTCACTCCTGCTCATCGGGGTCCCCCTGGGCTGTCCTCCCAAGGCCAAAGTCAAGAGACCTCAAAGGCAGCGTGGGCCTGACGTCTGCACTCTATTCCAGGGGTGCTCCCGCCCCGCACACACCCCACACTTCTGACGCTGGTCTCTGACCAGCCCTGAGCTGGGCCGCGAGTGGCTCTGATGGCCAGGCTGGTGTCAGGAGAGGGAGCTGGAACAAGGGTGTCTAAGCACAGGGCTGAGACCAGAAGGCCAAGCAGGTACTAGGCAGGTCAGATAAAAGGCGGTGGGGGGTGGGGGGTGGGGGAAGAGATTTCAGGGGCAGGAAGGCCTAGCAAGGCAAAGCCTCATGGAGCTGGGGGAACACGATGCTCACAGGGGCCACATTACACTGGGCAAAGCTGAGGAGTGTGGAGAGGTCAGGAGGCAAGAGCTAGAGTCGGACGACCCCGGACCTGACGTCCTCCTGGGATTCCTGCATCAGGGGCCGGGGGCTGCTCCCAACACAGATTCCTCTCAGGAAGGAGCCAGGGGTCTGCCTTTGCAACATGCTCACTGGTAGTGAGCCCCTCAAGGGCCAAAGCCTGAGGTCAGACAGAAGCGAGGCCTAGATGGGGGCGGATCTCAGATGCACGGCCAAGAGGCCAGGCCTTTGTCCTGAGGGCACCAGGGGGCGCTGCAAGGGGCAGTAAAGGGGTGTGCGGAACGCCCAGGGGGCAGGGCCGAGCAGCAAATGGACTACATGGGGACAGGAACGGGGATGGGGGAAGGAGTGACAGGCTCAGGGCTGACAAGCCGGGGTGGGGGCCAGGGAGGTCCAGAGCTCCGGCCTGCGGACAGGAGTGGCGGGGCCTGTCTGAGACAGGGAACCAGGAGAGGCAGGTTTGGAGTACACGCTTCGGGGCCAGAATGGGACTTGGTGGGTATGAGGGGCCTGGAAGGCACGCAGAGGGTGGGGCTCAGGGGGATTAAGGGAGCCTGGAGCTGGGGCTCGGGGCCTGGCCAGGAACAGGACAGCCGTGGCCATGGGTATCGTGGGGACAGAGGAGACAGCCTGGGGAGGTGTGACGAGTGAGGACAGGAGCCGGGCCCAGAACCCAGCCCTGGGGAACCCCATCCCCGAAGGCCCTTTCCCCTCCTCACCCCTATGTGCCCTCAAAAACCACGGGGCGGAGGAGCCCCAGGAGGAGAGGTGAAGGGCGGAGGCAGGGGCAGCAGGCCCACCTCATTGAAGAGCAGCTCGCGCCTCTGCTGCTTGCGCAGGTCCATCTTCTTGACGGCCACCAGCCTGCCCGAGCTGCGCACGGTGGCAATGCACACGATGCCCGTGGAGCCCTCGCCGATCTTAATGAAGTTGTCCAGATAGGAGCGAGGGTCGCCGGGGTCCACCACCAGTTGCAGGGCAGCCCGGAACTGCTCGTGGGACACTCGCTGGGGTTCCCGCTGTGGCGAGCGGGGTCCGGGGGGTCCAGGGGCGGGGGGTGCAGGGGGGGCGGCGAGGGTGCGGGCTGGAGGGGCCAGCTGGGGCTCGGAGGCGTGGGGGCCCAGCACTCCAGGGCTGGGGGGGCCGTGGGCTCGAGCGGGGGGCCGGGAGGCAGAGGAGGACTGGGGGACGGCCAGGCCCCCCACCGATGGCCCATTGGGGGCCACGTTGTGAGGCTCCCCCTGCAACAGAAAAGAGAGGCGGCTGTCAGTGGAGGGGCCAGAGGGACGGGGACCCCGGCTGTGGGACAGACACATGGTGGTCAGGATGCAGATGGACGGTGGGCTGGGCACAGGTTGGAGTCGGTGGGTGGCAACGGGGAAGCTCCGGGCAAGGGGACAGTGGGGCGGTCCTGGGGCAGGGGGAGCAGTTACCTGGGCGCCCCGGGATGGGTGGTCCGTGTCGGCCCGCGGGTACGTGTTAAAGGGCCGGCCAGCTGCCACTTTCGCCCCGCTGGCCAGACCGGCAGGCTGGTGGGGGGTGCCGACGTCAGGCCCAGAGAGGGGGCGCTTGTCCCGGGAGGACTCCTGGGGCCCCCCTGAGCCCTCCCTGGAAGACTTGGGCCTCTTGTCCGGCCCCACCCGCCGCCTGTCTCCACTGCTGCCACCCGCCTCGCTGCGACCGGCGACCCAGCCTTGACCGCCCGCCTTCTCTGGGCCCCCTCTGGCCGTGGCGGCCTGCTCCACGGGCATCCCGTTTTCCTGGCGGGCACGGGCGGGTGGCGGCGGGCTGTCTCTCCGCAGGGAGTTGGAGCGCGTCACCGACATGTTCTCAAACTCGTCGAGCAGCAGCGTGAGGGCCCCATCCTTGGCGCCTTTGCTGCCCCGCACGATGGTCTGGGGTCCGGGGCAATGGCGGGGTGGGGGCCGGGCAAGGAGGAGGGGGACACAGGACGTGTATCCGACACACGAGGACAGGACAACACAACACACACACAGAGACAAGACAGAGACGGAATGAAGAAATGCCATGGGTGATGACAGGGCGGGGCGGCAGGTGGGGCGGGCAGGAGCAGGGAGGCCCCTGCTGCCCCTCCCCCAGCACCTAGCCTTGGGTGGCAGGAGGGGAGCGGGAGGAAAGCCTGCCCATCCGACAGGCTGTCGCCCCCTCCCTGTGGGATGCACCCCTGTCTTTTTCTTGCTCTCCGGACTGGGGGGCGGTCCCTGCCCTGTGGGGTGCAGGGGAAGAAGGGCAGAGACTATGCCACCCCATAATCAGCCCGGGAGAGCTGCAAATTACAGGATGCTGGGGCCAGGGCCCAGCTTGGCACTTCCTCCCCTGCAGCCCGCCAGGGCTGTTAACTCCAAACCACGCTCTCTGTTCCTCTGGAGGCTGAGGGTGGGTTAAAGGGAGAGTCAGAAAGGTTTGGGCCCAAAGTAGAGGGCAGGAGTGCCCCAGGAGCAAGGCTGGCAAATGCGAATGCCTGTGTAAAGCCTGTCCTGAATCCACCCTCACCCACCACGGCCACCATCCTGATCCAGGTCACAGCCTCCAGGGTTCCCCCTGTCCCCGACTCAGCTCCAGGCACATGGGCCTCCTAACTGCTCCTAAAACACACCGGACACACTCCTACCTCAGGCACTGGCTCTTCACACTGCCTGGAACGTCTTCCCCCAAGTTTGCCCTGAGCTCCCCTCCCCAGCGCACCCCCCTTTCAGGTCTTTGCTGGAGGCTTTTGCTGACCACCCGTGGTCTGAAACGCCAGCCCCTAACACTCCCTATCCCCCTCCCCTGCTTTCCTGTTCGCTAGAGTACTTAAAACCAGCTGACATAAAGCATGCGTACAGCTGTCCATGGCCGGCTCCCCCAGGGCAATGATCGTGAGGGAGGCCATGGTTTCCTCCTGTCTGTTTCTGTTCTGGCTGGTATGCAGAAGGTGCTCAATAAGTATTTGCTGAACCCGTGAGTGAGTAAGGCAGGCAGGCTGGGAGGAGGCTGAGGGGAGCAGAGCCCATGCCCCTCAGCCCTGTGCCGTCAATCACTGGCAGGCAGGGACATGGGCTGCCAGGCATCCTAAAGCCAGAACCACTTCAAATGTGCAGAAAACACAGATCCCACAAAACCCTCCTACAGGCCACCGTACCCCTGTGGGGCCAGCCCCTGCCCCCGGCCTCTCCTGGGCTTGGTTGCCAGCCTGGAGGCCTGGCCTTGCCCAGGGGCCCAGCGAAGCAAGGGAGACACCTGGTCAGGCTTTGGTGCTGGAATAAGAGGTCGAGAAGTCCCTGGGGGTTGGGGGAGGGTCTGGGAGGACTAGGGAGTTTCTCAGCCGAGGGCAGCAAACACAAGCGCCCACAGGGGCCCCAGGAGAGTGCCAGCCCGTGTGGCACCTTTATGTGACTTAAGGTGCCCCTTCCTCCTGGCAGACACAGTGCCAGGTACGGCTCGTGGCTGGCAGGCCGAGCAGGGGCTAGATTTTAGGAAGCGCCCTAGTGTGGGCATAACCAGCAGACAAGCAGCCACAGGGCCGGGTAGGGGATGGAACTGAGGTGGGCTGGGTGGGGCCTGCGGGCCCAGAAGAGCTGGCACCCCGCCTGCGGTGGCAGCTGCCCCTCCAGTGGCCCCAGCCGATCTGTCAGGAGAAGCCAGAAATAGAGATTTGGATGTGAAGCCTCTTGCTTTTTTAGGCAGTGGCAGAGAATTCAAAGTATCCAAAATCCCCCTGGCTGGGGCACATGAACGCCTCAGTGGGCCGCCAGCTGGAGACCCTGGGGGAGAGCTTCCACGCCCGCTGGCCCGGGGCGGGGCAGGATGAGTCAGCCCTGGGCCTGCCCCCTGGCGCTGAGCCTGCTGACCAGCTGGCCCATCTCCACCCCTCCGAACAACCCGGGTTGCGTTCCCTGGCCCATGGCCCTTCCCGGTTCCCACTGCCCTTCGGATAAAGTCCGTGCTCCGAGGCCGGCTTCGCAGGCTGCGGGGTGCCGCACCCCCTGCCCCCAGACCAGCCTCACCATAGGCCACGCCCGGCACTGGGATCACGGAGACACGAAAGGAGTTAAGAACATGGGCCTTGGAAACGGACCTTGATTCAAATCCCAACTCTGCCCTTTTGCTCAGATGGCAGGGAAAAAACCCAAACCAAAAAACCCCCAATGCTTCATGTGGGCCGTTTCCTCCACTAAAAGCCCTGCCTCTCCACCATTTGCCCCAATGACTCCTCCTCGTCCTCGGCCCTCAGGGCTCAGCTCCGGTGTCCCCGACTCCAAGAAGCTGGCCTGGACCCTGGGGCTGGTCAGGAGCCCCCTCTGGGCTCCCCCAGCCCAGCCCTGAGCACTTGGGGCAGTCGCCATGAGGGAACGAGCCTGTCCCTCGTCCTGAGATGAGAGCCCGGTGAAGGCCCAGGACAAGTCTGGTGCTGGGGACCGGAGCACAGAGCTCAGGGCGTGAGGCTCCAAGGACAGGAGCACGACTTGGGGCTGGTGTGGGGGACTGTCGGAGGGTCAAGGTCAGTGTAGGGTTCTCAGCAAGGTAAGGGGGGGGCATCAGTGTTGAGGCCAAGTGAGGGATCAGTGGGTGGAGGGGTGAGCGAAAGGTGAGGACTGGGGCGTGTCTGTGTGGAGGTCAGCAAGGGAGGGGGAGGTGTTGGCCGCAGGGTCAAGTGTGGGGTTGAGGGCTGGGGTCACCCCAAGGGGGTTGGCGTGGGTCAGGAGAGGCGGTGGTGGGCACCAGCATACCTTGGGGGCCCCAGGCTGGATGGAGGTGATGCAGGCGGGGTCGATGAGGGGCTTGGGCCGGCGAGCTGACTCCTCGATCAGGCTCTGCCACTGGCGGGGCAGCCCCGTGAACTTCTGCTCGTGCTGGTCGAAGCCCGTGTGCACGCGGTGCTCGAAGTTAGACGGTGCCGAGATCTCAACCCGCTTCTTCTTCTTCCCAAACATGGCGCCAGGCTCTCAGCGTGGTGAGGGTGCAGATTTGGGCTCCTACCGGCAGGCCTGTGGGAGGGGACAGCTCGCAGAACGTGCTATTTCTCCTCGATCCTCTGGCCCCGCCCTGGTCCTATCCATTCTCCTCTCCTCCCTGGCCTCCCCACTCCCCCCCGCCCCCTCCCCAGTCTGTCCCCCACATGCAGCCCAAGGGACCCCGTGAACACCCGAGTCAGGCCCCTTGCTCAGAGCCCTCCTGTGGCTCCACCTCACTCAGGGGAGAAGCTCAGTCTTCCCGTGGCCCGCCCTACACGACCTGCCCCATCACTTCTCTGCTCTCATCTCTCCCTCTCACTCACACTGGCTTCCAAACCTCAGGGACTTGCACTGGCTGTTCCCTCTGTGGGGAATACTCTTCCCCAGTATCCACACACATGGTCCCCTCCCTCCCTTCCTTCACAGTCGTTGGTGACTCCTTTCCTGAACACCCCAAGAAAAAGAGTCCCCATTCCCCACTGTCCTTCCATCACATTTCATAGCATGTTTAACTTCTGGAAATTCTGCTGCTCAGTCTTGTGTTTACTAGTTCAGTGTTTAAAACCCCCATCACTAGACTTTCAGTGCCCCAGGCCAGGTCTCACCTGCCCAGTTTCCTGGCATCCCACTCCCTTGTCTCGGCCACGTCCAGCACACAGTATGTGCTCAGTGACTGGTTCCTAAAGGCCAGCTGACACTATCCCTGCTTTTCCAGCCTGCACTCTGGGCTGGAAGCACAACATACCTTTGGTTATTTGTTCAACAAATGGTTACCAAGCCCCTGTCCTATGCGTGACCCCTAGGCAGCCTTACTGCTATATGCCCACTTTACAGATGAGGAGACTGAGGCTCAGAGGAGGGAAGTTCCTCACCAAGATTACAGGGCGGAGAAAGAGCCACTTCATAACAGATACTAACAGACCAAACAGTCCCTGTCTTTAGGGCCTGTGGTCTCCAGTCCTGTACTCAGAACAGTACCAGCACAGAGTAAATGCTCAATGAGAGCTGATTTAAAAACCAAAGGGGCCGAAGAGGACATGTGTGATGGTGGTGTCCCATAGGGAGACCAGAGAAATGATGGGTAGGGGAGCCAGATGGCCAGAGTGCAAATCTCTCTCTGTCGCCTACTACGTGTGACCTTGGGCAAGTGACCTAACCTGTCTGTGCGCTGCATCAGCCCCCACAGGGCTGCCGGGAGGATTAATGAGTTAATGCGGGCAGGGCTGGGACACGGGGGGGGGGGGGGGGGGGGGGG